CCTTATTGGATGATCATGGCTATGGCCCACATTGTACCAATGTGGGTTTTACCCTATAAAACTCCTCTGTAAAGTGGGGTCCATGGCTACCCACTCAGGCCCCCCCCCGCCGGAAGCTTCACTATCAATAAATACCTTCCTACCACTAACCTCCATTATTTCTAGGAGTCATTCTTCAATTCCTAGAGAAGATGAACTTGACATATCATACAGTTAAGATGCTAGAGGATATAACATTTCATATTTCACTCCAGTATTATTTCCTGTAACACTCCTCCTGTAACATAAACTCCTTTGCTACATCACTAAAAAGACCACCACCCTTCAATTAATTACATTTAATAAAAATAAAACATTTTCCTGTATAAAACTCAGTCTTTTGGATAGGAGTCCAACTGAGTCAAGATGCATCTAATAAATTTTCCTGATTCCCATTGCTCTGTCCTGTCTGTTTTGTTCCACCACATTTTCCTCGATTGTATTTATTTTGGAACATTTTATTTCTAGTCCACTATGAATTCAGGGAGAGCAGGGACTCCATTAGTCATTTTCAGCACCGAACTCAAGACAAACACAGCCTATAAATGGTAATTGTTCAGGGAATCTTCTAAAATAATAGTAGAACTTAAGAACCCACTTACCAACTGTGAATAGCCATGCTAATAGAGTTTGAATTCCTGAAAAGGCAGATAGGCAACATGACCTCTAAGTGGCTCTTCTCTCTCTCTCCAATGCTACTTTGGTGTTCCAAAGTGCTACTTTTGCCCTGAGCTGCAAAAATATATACCTTCACTTTCCACAGAGGAGACATGTGTTGAATGTACATTTCTGAGTAAAAAAAAAAAAACCATCATGTCCCTTGGGGAAATTAAACTTCTCAACTTGATTTAATTGAGGTGATTAGTAAGTTACACCTTGGATGTGTCTGGATGCATCGTGCAGACCCGACCATATGGGATACATCTGGTCCTCTGTCTCTGTGGCTCTTCCCCTGTGGCTGCTTTCCAGTCATCATGAAGTTAACAGCTTTTCTCCACCATGTCCTTCTGCTATCCTGTCTCTGTCTTGGTGTCAGCTGAACATGGATTAAAGTCTCTGAGACTATAAGCCAAATCAAATCTTTCATTGTTTAACTCAGAGATCAGGGTTTATGTCACATCTATAGAAAAGCTCTGGAAGATACCTGTCAATAAAGTTAAACAAATTGAAAAAGATGTCAAAATGTCTGATGTAACAGCAACACATGATTGCCTAAATGCCTGCTATTAGAATAAAGCAGACTAAAAATTTGTTGGTTTTTTTTTCTTAGATTATGATATACACTTTGGAATTAGGTCTTTAAACCCCAAATTTAAATGCTTATTTAAATTTATCTTCAAAAATGCTGTATTATTTTAAATTATAGGATATGTTTGGAGATGATAAAATTTAATTTTACTGTAAATAAATGAAACAAGGCCTCTTTGTCATTGTCATAAACACATAAGATGACTATGTAATTCTGAAAATATTTAAAATATTCTCTGTAGTTAATTTAAAGGTTTTAAAATATGGCCAAAAATGGTCATGAGAGATCTAGACATGGTGCTGTATTAATCAGAGCTCACTAGACAAAAAGATTTAATGCACGATCACAAATGTATAAGAATTGACAAGACTGTTTCCCAGATAACCACAGAGATAATGAGCAAAATGGAAATCATGATTCAAGACTCTAGAGCAGAAACTGACAAAAAAAAAAAAAGATGAGCTCAGGACCATGATAGAAGCCATGAAGGCCTAGCATAAGAAAGAAATGGAAAAAATAAATGCCCAACATAGGAAAGAAATGGAATCCATAAAACAGATTCAAACAGATATCCAGGAGATTAAACACTCTATTGAAAGTGTACGCAACAGAATAAAAGAATGCGAAGATAGACTCTCAGATATAGAAGATAAGATTGCAGTCAGTGACCATGAAAAGAGAGGTCTCTTAAAAACAGTAAGGGATCATGAGAAATCGCTCCAACAACTCCTAGATGATGCAAAGAAGAATAACATAAGACTGATAGGAATACATGAAGTAGCAGGAGAAAATACAAAGGACCTTAAAAAGCTGTTCGCAGAATTAATGACAGAAATCTTCCCAAACAGAGGGGAAGAATTTGACATTCAGATAACTGAGGCATATAGCACCCCAACTAGCTACAATCAAAAAAAATCTACACCTAGACATATAGTAATCAAGATCTCAGAAACCCAACAGAAAAACAAAATACTACAAGCAGTAAGAGAAAAGAAACAAATCACATGCAAAGGGAAGCCCATATAAAAGAGAACAACCTCCAACCTAGACTGATGTATCTTGCAAAACTCCCTTTCAAAATGGATGGGGAAATAAGACACTTCCACGACAAAGAACACCTGAGAAACTACATGAATACCAAACCAGAACTACAAGGAATTCTAAAGAAGATCCTAGAAAAGACAAGGAAGGCAACAACACCATGAGGCCCAACAGAGCAAATCAAATAGGCAAGGCAAGAA